CTGGAGGAGGGTGACTGTTCGAGCCGGATCACCCTCCTCTTCTTTTTTCTTTTAAGGGGCTGGGTGGTGAGCAGGGATTGCCCCCCGGCCTCCTCCGTCCTTTTCCTTTTTCGATCGGCGGACGAGTCCCGGGAGTTGTGTCCCGTCCGCCGATCTGCCTCCGTGTTCTGAGCCGCGGGCCCGTCGATCTCCATCGGAGAGACCGCCGTTGGCCCGCTGGAGGGGCCGGATGCTCGGGCCCCATTCTGTGCTTTACTGAGGCGGTCGACCTCGAGCCGAAGCAGAGCGCCCTCGATCCGAAGGCGCTCCATCTCGGCCGAGGCCGCCTCCTGCTCCTTTCTGGCAGCCTCGCTCTGCTCAGAGCCACCGATTATCTCGGTCCTCTGAGCTAGAGCGAGGCTGCATGCGGCCAGTGTGGCCGTGGCATCCCAGAGGGCCCCCCTATACGGTCCCTTTAGGTTTTTTGACCGCTCCGCGACCTTTTTCACCTCGTCGATGGCCTTTATGGCCATCGACGAGACTCCAGCGGTCTGTTTAAACCGCAGGTCGCGGAGGATCCTCCCCTCCTCCTCTAGCGTTTGGAGGGCCCTTTTCGACTGCGGGCGGATATTATGGTCCTTGACCACCTCCACGCCCGCAATCGCGTCGCGCTCCTCCTTATCCCTCTTCCTGTATTCGAGTGCGGCCGCCGTGTGGTCCCCCGGCTGGGAGCGCACGACGGGCCGCCCCCGTCCATCCTTCTTAGCAAACCTTATGGTGTTCTCGGGGGAGGCCGACCGCGAACTAACATCGCCGTCGCCGCTCCCCGCGCCAAGGCTGCCATCCCTATTGCTGCGGGGGCGCGACGAGGCCGACGACGACCTCGTGCGACACCTCGCTCTCTCGCTGGGGCGTTCCCTCGCCCCATTACCATCAGTGCGGCCATGGTTGGCCGCCTCCCTCCCGGCCGAGCTGATGGACGGCTCGGCATTGGGCGTGTCTCGCCCATCGGAGAGCGAGGCATATGCCTCGATCTCCTCTTCCTCTCCTCCTACTACTTCTGTTTGTGTGGTTGTATTCATATCTTTGGTTGCCCGCCCCTTCTCACCCGAGGGCTTACGGAGCAGGCCATGAATGCTGGAGGAAGTATTAACCCCCCAGGCGGAGCCCCACGCCTGGGTTCGGGCTTGATACACCCGGGGTGCGCCAGGTGCCCCGGGGTGGACCGCTCGCGACCGGCTAACCCGCCGGCCACTCATCCTCTCGCCGCGGCTCCCAAGCTTAGGATTGGGGGGGGTTTTTTATAAAGGTCCCCTTCCTCGTGGCCCAGGCGTTTAAGCCAAGGCCCTCGTTCCCCCAGAGGTTCGTCATAGACATGACATAACGACCCCCGGGGGTTTACGATATAGACAGGTCCGACAATTGCCGGGCCTGCGCTGTAGGGGTCCTGGCAAATACCACGCAGACCCCTAACTCTCCCCGTGCGCAGCTGCCCACACGGGGGGGCCCTCACTGCCGGTCACGTCGCGTGCGATCGTGACCAGGAGGAGTCGCAGGGTTGCCGGGGTGCGGCACCTCTCCACTGAATGTGGGGAGGGCCAATGTACCGGTCCCTGCGACCCCCCCTCCCGTACCGCCGACCCGAAGTAACCTCCGGGGAAATCCGGCGGGAAGGTCGTCCCAGGGTGCGCGACCCAGGCCTCGGAATATGTCCAAGCGGCCCGCGCACCCCTCCACCCCCCGGGTTGTCGGAGGCTTCCGACGTGCCATCCCGGGTGTGCGTTCCTCTCCCCACCCTACCCGAGCCGGGGCCCGAGTAGGGGCGGATCGAGGGTGTCCCGCACTATCAGCTGCCAGTCCGGCGTGCAATGCCTACTCGTGTGGGACCTTCTCCTGTTACCCCGAGACGAGAACTACCCGTCCCGGGGCGGAGGTCCCCCCAACCCCGTCCCCAAGACTGGTGGTGGAGCAAGCCCCACCTAACGGCCCCAGCCAGCCGGGCGATTGGAATCAGGGCCGCCTACCCCTACCGGCGATTGGGCCCATCGGCCCTGAGGGAGTCGCCGGGCTCCCCTGCAGTGGAGGGATTTACGTCCCTCTCTAGCAACCGCGGGGCTGCAGCCCACCGCGGTCCGGTTTTCTGTGGGGGTTTTCCTTCCCCGTTGCCGCCGTTCGCCAGCGATCCTCAGGTAGGGGCCTCCCTTTCGGCCGAAACCGAAAGGTACTGCCGCCGAGCCTTCACCGGATCGCCGGTACCCCTCCACCACGGTAAGGTGGCGGCATGGAGGGGAAAAGAAGTGCACGCCTTTTGCGCTCTTCTCCCACCCGTGGTTCTAGGCACCGGCACCCCCAGCGGTACGCTTCATCGATAGCTCAGGTAACACCCCTTGGTGGAACCTTCATCGCAGCGGGGCCTAAGTGCACAGCGGCCTTAGCCTAACGGATCAGGGGGCGTGGACCCCCAGCGTTGCCATAGCGGATCACCGGCGCGCCCCCCGTTGCCGACTATCACCGGCCACCGTGCACCCGGATATCCCGTTCTCCGAATGAATCACTGAGAAGTGTGATTCGAGTGCCTTTTCCCACGGGTGTTGCGGGAGAGGTTGCCAGAGGGCGCGATCGCAACCGCACCCACACGCAACCAACCCGCCCCTCTTTGATACTAGCTTTGCCGCTCCCCCAGCCGGGACTACATCCCGGACTTACGGGACAGCGACGCGGCCAGTCCCTCGCATTGGGGTTTCCCACTGGGACACCGATCAAGACAGCGGCCACGCCGGGCCGCAGCACGCACCGGGGGGCGTACCCGCCCGGGCGCCACAACCCAGCGAACCCGACAACCCAGCCAGCACCCAGAAAGGACCCCTGATAGAGGATGAGGCTCCTGTGCCTCATTCCCCCCTCTGAGAGAGCACGCTCACTCAGCGGGTAAGCTCCACGCCCCCCCTGAACCCGGGGCATGCCCCGGGCGCAGAGTGACGATAGGCTATCACACAGAGACACACCCACACACATACACATACCCTGAGCCATCGGCCACCCTCCGGCCTCCAGCCCGTGTGCCTTCGCCCTGTGCACTCCACCCCAGAAGACTGCCCAGGCGGTAACACCCCTTCCCCCCTTATCCCAAATTGCAGGTGTTGGTGGCTGTCTCCACGGCCGAGACACCACCTCGTGGTCTCCGTCCCCCCTCATGACGCCCGGGCTGGGACTGTGCAGCATCCGACAGGGGACTTCGCAGACTCCGCCGTGTCCGAAACCACCGAGTTCCAGCCACCCGTCCCGGACGGACTTTTGTCCGTCCGACTCACAGCAGTGTCGTAGGCTCGGCTGGGCAAGGCCGAGGACACCCATATGGGAGACCCCAGCACGCCCTACTTCATTGCCCCGACCCACCGCCGCGAGGCGCCGTAGGCTTAGCTGGGCAAGACCGAGGTCGCTCGTAGCGGAGCCTCTAGCAAGCCCTACCTCATTGCCCCGACGTGGCTCCCCCAGGGGGGACGCCTTG